TAATTATTTTTTAAAATTTTGGCATGTTATTTATTTGTATCTATATTTATTATATAAGGTATTCTATTTACCAAATTTAGTAGATTAAAAAGTCAACGTAATTAATGCATTACTATTTCTATCCAGAATTTTATTTAATTATTTTATTTATTTGTCTTATATCCCATAAAATCAGTTTAAGAAAAAAAAATCTCATAACATCTGACAAGTCCAAAAAAAAAAGACGTAAAATCTTTACCAAAATAAAAAGACTTTATTTATTTGTCTTATTACATATTAACATTGATTTTGTCAAAATAAATCTCATAAAATCAGTGAAGTCAAAATTTGTACGTAAAGTCTATCTATCCAAAAAAAAGTCAAATTCAAAATTCCTTATCTAATTCCTTCTTTTTCTTATCTAATTCATTCTTTTCCTTATCTAATTTTTTTTTTTATTATCTAATTGTATGAAAATCTGTTCTGATTTTGTTCAATCCTCTAATTGTATTTGTATTATATTCCATAAAATTGGTTTAACAAAAAAAATCTCATAACATCCAATAAGTAAAAAAACAAAGTACGTAAAATCTTTACTAAAATAAAAAAAAAGACTTTATTTATTATCTAATTTATTATCTAATTGTATGGAAATCTGTTCTGATTTTATGGTACATACTACAAATTGTGCACCCGTGTTCAGGAGCTACTTAACGGGCAAACTCTGTGGAAATGACTCATTTAGTGCTTCTGTCCCGTGCATACGGTATGTATTTTTATTACACATACTAGAAAATTGTGCACCCCGTGCATCGCACGGACTCTGTAATAATAAATGACCTTAAAATTGTGCACCCCGTGCATCACTCGTGTTCACATTTTGGCTTATTATAGGTCACGTACTATATATATCCCGTACATTTTTTTTATTCATTTATATAATTATCAGAATGAATAAATGACCTTAAAATTGTGCACCCCGTGCATCGCACGGGCGCTGTACTAGTTAAAAATTAGTAGCAAACAAATATGTCAACATTAAATTCAGCTCATAAATAGTAATTTTATTATTTTTCTTTAAAAATCATACAATTTAATTTATAAATAAGTTCTAATATAATCATACAATTTAATTAAAATAATAATTAAATATTGAATGGTGAACAAGAATAAGTAAAACTGTTACTTTCTCTTAGATCAAGAGATAAATTTATATGCTAAAATTAAGTTTTTATTAGTATAAATATTTTAGTGAGATAATATATTAATTATTTTACAAGCTAGCCCTAACGTGCTCATATTTAATGTTCTGGCTAAAAAGATAATGCTGGTTAAAAGATTTGGAAAAAACCTTATAACTCAATTATTTTTAGACTTAACGTTGATTAAAAGAGGTAGAAAATAGATAAACCTTATTACTTTTTAGACTTAAACGGACAAGACTGTGAGAATAACTCATTTAATATTTCTGTCAGATGTGGGTTTATAACTCTATTGTTTTTTAGACTTAACGTTGATAAAATATGAAGAAAATAGATAATAACCCTTTTACTTTTTAGACTTGCTGGGAAAATAAAAGTTTATAATCCTATTGTTTTTTAGACTTAACGTGGATAAAATATGTAGAAAATTGATAATAACCCTATACTTTTTAGATTTAAATAAACAAGACTGTGAAAATAACTCATTTAATATGTATGTCCCAATGCATCGCACGGATACGTACTAATTAAAATTATTGTTCATCATTTCAAATCGGTGTTTTAATTTACACCTTCTGAATTTGCGCTCTTAGCCTTAACACTTTTATCCCCCGTAGGCAATTAGGTTTAAACCATAAACCCTAGTTTTGAACGTGAATTTCCTCTTTTATGTTTCTGAAGGTCGACCTTAACCCATGCCGTAGTTACGCTTCTGCTCCATCTCCCTGAAATTAATAGGCAAGCGAGGTCGAAGAAGCTCAGGCAATGGTGAAATTCAAAGCACAGTCGAAGAAGGCCCAAAAACGCGGAGTGGATTTCAAAGTAATGATCATAATTATTTTAAATCTTACGAAATTATGATTGCTAGATCGTGTCTGTTAACTTTCAAAACTCTGTTTTTTTGTTTCCTTTTGTTTGGTTCTCTTTTACAGAAAATTAAGCGGAAAATCGGCAGGAAATTGCCGCCCCCAAAGAATGCCACAAACACTGAAATAAAATCTAAAGCGATAGTGCTTCCGGAACAAAGTATAGTGTCTGAAAAAGCTGGGTTAGCTGTCAGCAGAAAGGGACTGACACTAAAGGAGCTTCTTCAGCAGACTAGCCATCACAATGGGAAAGTCCGAAAAGGTCTTGCATTTCATTTTTCACGCTGTATTAATGCAATCTATTTATTTGTAATGCCAATGAATCTACCGTAGTAAGTATTTGTAAACTCGTCCATGCCGGGAGAAAATGAAGTCAAAGTTCTGATCGAATGGGACTAAACTAAAAAAGAACAGTACCCGCGGGAAGGCGAGTTTTTGCACGCATGTACATGAATAGTGTCGTAAATTTCTTTGCGTTACGAATATATTAATGCATTGATATGGTAATATTGGCGGAGTTCCATTGTGCAGTTGGAAAACCTCATGTGACTGATTTATTATATTCGTGAATATGTGATACAGAACAGTATATTAGAGTTCGTTTTCATTTTGAACTTTCTGTTGAGGTTGTATATTTGGTTTTGGGGTTGGTTAGCCAAGCTTGAATGATGTGTTGTCTAATTTTGATGTTAATTCATATTAATATCAGGAGCTGCGGACAAATTTTCATACTTTATAGACTCTGTAACTAAACAGAACAAATAGTACCCTTGATTTATGAGTGATACGTAAGAAATCATAAAAACAGTACATGTTTCCAGCTCATTCCGTATTTAATTTTAGATACTGTGAATGGTTGGTGGACCTAGGACATGGAATTCGGTTTGTTGAGCGTTGATAACACTAGAGTAATTTGTTGAAACATAATACCATAAACGCTTCTACCCAAGTTGCGAGTGGAGTGCGCTTTCAATTATTATCAAAGTTGTAGTAGTAGAATCCAGAATTGCAACTATTCTCAGTAATAGTAAATTTGACTGCCTAAGGGCTTGTGGGTGTAGTCTGTGAATTGGTAACCTTGCACAAGGACCCATGTTAATCCTTTCGTCTCCTTCCTAGATCAATTTTATCTTCTTTCTCTTGACTTTGAAAGCATTTTAAACATAGTGAACTGGAATGAGTTACCTAGTAAACATTACACACGTTTTCCATGATGTTTGTCATTTTGTGTTTGTTACTTTGTTATTGACAGATCTTTGTAATTTTTCAGATGCATTGCTAGGTATGAAAGATATACTGCTTAACCACCCAGTTGAGCTGAAGTTGCATAAACTTTCTGTCATAGAAAAACTGCGCGAACGCATTGGTGATGATGATAAAGTGGTTCGTGAAACACTTTATCAACTTTTTAAGTCAGTAATTTTCCCTGGATGTGGAAAAGTAAGTATTAATATTATGGTATATCTTTTGTTTAAAAGAATTTTGTTTCTTTGCATTTCGTGTTCGCTGTTACGCTTAGTTATGATTGTCAATAATCCATATAGAATACACAATATGAAGAGGTGATGAAGAAATTGATGGCTTACTTTGTTTCCTCGACAGTCACATCAGTGTCCTTTTGGTTTACTCTTATTCTGAAAACTTGCTTTAACCTTTTGAAAATATTTTCGAAATAACAAGTTAACAGATGGTATCTTAATCAACCATTTTTTTTTTCTTTTTTTCTTTTTGCTTATGGAAGGCCGAAGAAAAAATGGGCTCATGTCAAATGAATTTAGTATTCCTTTTTTCTCTCCAGATTATCCTCTCCTCTCAAAGACCAAGTTGCTGGTCTCTAGAATGATTCTTGTTATTACAACATCTGCTTTTGTATAATTTGTTTGCTCAACCCCTCATTGCCTACATGTCGTGTATCATTTGAAAATAAAGTACACATGTTTCCTGGAATTTCTTTGGTTGATCCGATGCCTCTCTTTTTCAGGATAATCAAGGACCATTAGTTTCCTTGATGATGGTGTATATTTTTAATGCTATGACCCATTTAGCAATAGATGTTCGCTTGATGGCTTTCAAGTTTTTCGACCTTATCGTGCAGTTTTACCCCTCTTCATTTTTCTTATATGCTGAAAAGGTATGATCATATGCTGCTTTTCTGATGTGGATGCTTATTGCATTTTATTCATAATGGGTTGGCTATCGAAAGGATGCTTTTCCTTAAAAAAGTGGGTCCTAAATTTCTCGTTTTATTGCATATTTCTAATGGAAGTATAGAGTTGTTGATTTGGGGGAAGGGGGTGGCCTTATAGAGGTGAACTGCACCATAAGAAGGCGAGCCTAGTTGCCACATTAGTGAGGTTCCACCCCAAAACCAATTGGTGATAGAAGGATTAACCCACTAGGCTTATAAACTACGCATTTGTCTTGTAGAATCAATGTGAGACAACTCAGAATTGATATTCAACCACAACCACTCACTTGTGAGTCCTCTAACTGTCCGGGATCGGGCTCGATTAGCAGAGTAGCAGCAGGTCCTAGATCGGGCCTGCTTTGATACCATGTAGAGTTATAGATTGGAGGGAAAGGGTGCGGTCTGAGAGGTGAAGCGCGTCATAAGAAGGCGAGCTAGTTACCATCTTGGTGAGATTCCATTCCAAAACCAATTGGTGATGGGAGGAGTAGCCTACGAGGCTTATAAACTAGACCCAGAGAATTATTGTGGGCAACTCACAAGTGATATCTCAATAGAAAGAAATAAGGAGAGATAATTTGTGATTCAGTTAGTTCAGTTGTTGCGTTCGTTGGCTTCATTCTTGAATAAAAATGGAGCTTTCTTTCTCGTTCTTCCTTGTTACAATATATATGTGGTGGATAGTTCTGTTCCATTTTTATCGGCATTTCCTTTATGATGCACTTGTATTCTCATTGATGCAATTATAGGTTCAATGGTTTCCTTTTTCTTTCCCTGTGATCTTATTTGCTCCGTTTCTTTTGTCATTATTTATTTTCTGAATATATTAGACTACATGTGCAGATTCTCCAAAACTATGAAGATATATTACGGAAGAACCAATTTGTAGAGGATAAGAGTAAATTGAAGAGCATTCTCGCAGGATTGATTCGCTGCTTGTCGTTGTTGCCTTGTAATCAGAGAGACGAGGCTGCTGTTGAAAATGTATCTTCTGGTGTATTAATGTTGCTGGCAAATTTTGGTTGTGCTGTTCTTTAAGTTCACTACTATATATCTTGAATGAATGGAACCCAGTACATCCGGTGCACGTAATGCATCTGTCAGTTCTTTCAGTAGTCCAAAAAGTTATTTTACAATATGTCATCTGCTAACAGTTCTTGTCTTTTTCCGTTGTCAACTGTGTTTTAGATACATAAAGTTACTCATTGTTGTATGGTTTGTACAGGATATTCCAGCCCATGACATTCTTCACGCTTTTGAGTCTGACGTTTCCAGAGAATCTGTTGGTGAGTCTCAAGAACTTTCAGTTCCATTGGTGTAGTTCTTTTGTCATCCATTCTTTCACCTCGTTATAGTTTTCTTAGAAATAGCGACGTTTTTTGCTCACCGATACATTGCATGCCTGCTATCTTTCCCTTCTCCCCCTTACCATGGTTGGTCAATCTCGGTGTATTAATTTGAAACTAACTACGAGTATTTTGTCGCTTTTTCTGTGTTTTCTTCGTTATTTATTGCAATGTCCCTGGAAAACTACTAAGAAACTTATGATGAAAATCATTATTTCTTATGAATTCTCCCGAGTAACATTTACAACATGCACATATAAACAAAAATTAATGATAAACTTTGAATAATTTATAATTGAGCCAAATGATCTAATATTGGAGGCAGTGTTATCAAATGGCGGCCATGGCGGCGCGGATTAACAATCCGCTATGCAAAGTTTGTGAATGATGGCGTTCATGGCGGCGCCATAGACCGCCACGGCGGCCGCAATGGCGGAATTTTGGCAAAACGCCATGTACCTCCATCCGCCATTAATATCACTGATTGGAGGGGCTATAGACCCTTCTTATAACTATTTATTTGCTTAACATGTTCTTGAGCTCAGGATATTTTCTAATTGCTTTTCAGTTAAATATAGCTTTTAAATTTTTGGGCGTACCTTGTAAAGATTGGTCAAGATTCTGTATAGCATGAATCTAATTCAACTTTAAAAGCATACTTTATTTATGGTTATCCTATAGAGATCTATGTTTATCTAATTGCTATTCTGGGAGCAACCCAATGGGTTTGCAAAGGGAGTGCATGGTTATCTTGTTGGTGGTGCACAAAAGTTTTTATATTTATGCTACTATTAATTTTTTCTAGTGTTATGCTTCTAAATCTCACAGATAAACGACCATTTTGTCAGCTGTTTCCCCATGTGATTTCTGATGCCAAGTCTTTATACTTGGTATTAGTCCCCTTTGCCTATTATGCTGGGAACTACATGAAGTTCCATAATTGTTACTGTGAGTTCTAATATTTAAGCTAACACTTTATATGCTAGCATGTTCATGATTTATTGTCTGTTATGGAGGCCACGATCTGTTCACTGATTAGAAAAAAGCATAAGTTCCAGAAATGGATTAGTGGTGGTCGTCACAGAAGTTTACTCAAGCCCAAAACACAATAAAAGTTAATAAGTCTTTGTTAGAAAGAGGAGGATTGCACATCATATAAACGTTTGGGATGATGTGAAAAATTTGCAGTGAATCTTTATGTAAATTCTTAATTTTCCTTTACGATTAAATCATTTTCCTACATGGTCTCTGTGTGTGTATTGTCTTTATTGCTTGATGCTACATTCTGGGAAAATTAAATTTTCTCCTTAGTTCGAGGATTGCATAATACTCACCAACTTTGATTGCGTGCTTTGCAGGGCTTATTGAAATTGTCAAGCCATTGAAAGCTCTTTTGCCCATTCTAGTTGGCTGTTTCCAGGATTTCATTCCATTGCTGCAAAGCAGCTACCAACTAGATCTGCAGTCCTTTGATTGTTTGCAAATTATACTTCAGAGCGTTGATCTCATGGTCAGGTTTTTGGCCGTTGGGATTTGCAAAAGTAAACCTGATCTGCAAATTCCTCTGCCATTTCAGAAGACGGTTATGAACACATGTCATCAGTTGATATCACCATTGATGTTAAAGAAGTTATGGGATGTTTTTCCCCTCAGCCTAGTTCACCATCTCTCAGGAAAGGTATATCTATGTGGAGAGATGCATCTATAGATTTACTGCTTTAGTAATCCCAGTAACTTTAGTAATCCAAGTATAATCATCATCGTCATCGCCTTTGTATAGGGAGATATCAGATATCATCATAACACCTGTTTCTTTAAGTCAGTTGTTGGCAACATCAATGACTGGTTCTTTTCTCAAAAATACCTAAATCTCTAATTTTGCTTTATCGGTCTTTGCAGGATGATGATCGAATCTTTGTGTTAAATACTCTTATTACCAGAATATTTTTGCAGTTGAGTAATTGGGACCATGCACCATATGCTTTGTTTGAAAAGTTTATGGAGTTCATCGAAACTTCACTAGCTACAAAGGTTTGGTTATTGGTGTTGTTTATTGGACTTAATATATAAAGTAGTTTTTGAGTTTCATCTGGTACTTTCCATATGATACTTATAGCATACTGCATACGTCAAAGTACGAAGGAGATTTTAGCTGACAACAGTCTCTTTATTATATCTTCCATGTTTTATTCTCTAGATTGTTTCTAATTAATAATCCATTAAAAGCTCCTCTTCTTTAAGTCTCTAGTAGTCAAGAATTGTTACGTGTATACCATTTGTTAATTCATGCATTATTTGCAGGTGCAATCGGGTAAAGTGTTTCATGAGAAATACTTGCTTCCGCTGATACCTTACATTCCGAAACTGACAGTAAAAGTTTCTGGTGACTGGAGGTCTCGTATTCTAATGGTCTGTAAGTGAGTTATGTAATCATCGAGTGTTTCTTTAATGTATTCTCTCTTTCTCCTCAACAAATGTTTCATGCCTCTCTGTGATGGCCTGTAATTGACCTTCATTTGCCTTCTGCAGGCCTTCACCGAGGTTTTCAAGAACTCCAGCCCAGAATCTGGAATGAAAGTAGCTTGCCTTTCTGCAGTTGAAGAAATGCTTGCCCCTGTAAGATGTCTTATGAGTTATGATGTTCTTGTCATGTCACTGTACATTCATTTTAAGAATTTATGTTGCAAGATTGGATCCACATGTAACTCAATTACTATGAAGTGATGTTATTCAAGTTTCAACGTACTATGGGATTATAAAACTGAATTTGATGATAATTGTGTATTTTATGCTATTGGGTTCTGATTTCTATGAAGTTATTGTGAAAATTCATCAAAGCAATTCAAGTCTGGATGTTTTTTCTTAGCTATGAACTATGGAATCTTGATATATTTAACCAGTTATACCAGAACTACAGTAGTTACATCTTTTTTTTTTTTTAATTTTTTATTTTTGCATCTGATATGCTCTAGTTGTAGGTTTTGGAGGTGGATTTTACTGCACTAGAATCAATTTACCTACAAAGTGGGTTCTTTAAATCTTTTTGCCTAAATGCTCCTTTAAAACAGGAAAGGAGCTTGCTTTACCTTGACGCAGATGATCCAACCTTGTTCGACTATCAGATTGCTTGGATACAGTATCTCCCTTCACTGCTAATTTTGTTGGATGATAAAAGCCCATCATGTTCAAAGGTTTACTTCCTGGTGTAATGTCATGTTTTGAAAATTCTTTCTTGAACGCTTCAAGATACCAGAAAGCTTTAGTTTACTGTCTATGAATTCCCTGATGACGATTGTTCTTTCTTCAGGCTGTGTTACGTCTTCAACTACGCATTCTACAAGGTGCTCCGGTTAACTCCCCATTCTCTCAGGAATTTGACACTATGCAGTATAGTTTTAAAAACTTCTTCAGCCAGCGAATTGAGAATGGTAGGCACTGTTGATAGTTCTCCTCATTCTTCTTGTCATTAAATTGCTCTTGCCATATGTAAAGCACGCGTATGGTTTTTGCAGACATAAGTTATGGTCCCTTCATGAGGCTAGCGGCAGATATTCAGGAGCTTGCGATATGTTGCCTTTATTATTTATCTTTCATGGATTCACAGCTTTTGCAGTCACTAGTCTCATGTTGCTTATGTAAGTAAAATACGATATCTTGAGGTCTTCTATTATCATTATTGTGCTGGTTAGCTGCTGCACTAGTTGTTCTCCATGATAACTAATCAACTATGGTTGCATTTTATCTTCTGTCCACTGTAGTGGAGTATATTTGAATTTTGTCATCAATCTTACTTTGTGCACTCTGTGCGTGAAACTTTTGTTCCTTGTAAAATATAAGTTCTTCCAAGAACTTTGTTGCTTTTGGTTTTTCTGATTAGTGATGGATATCTGATATCATTTACCCTAATCTTACACAACAATCATGTACCAGAACAAGCATGTTGGAAGTTGTATCGAGTAAGAAAAGGCTTCAATTTGTTCCCCTCATTTTTGTAGGATTTAATAGCAGAAGTGGAGTTGCGGTAACACAATCCTGACAATCATCTCACTAAATATATTACCTAAAACAAACTATTCATGCTGGGCTACCAAGTTTATTAGCACTTATCAGTAGGAAAGCAAGTTAATGTTCCTTTCTCTCGTGGAACAGTTGGAATAGGATATAATTCATTCCACTTACTAAAAATCCAGACAATTATTGTGACAAAAGCATCATTTATAGAGAAGTATATGTTGTTTATGGATGTTCCTTGTCAATCTCTCAGGTGATAATGTTGATAGAAACTTGGTTGTGCGTATCATAGAAGTTCTTCATTCGGCTTTTAGAGCTGGACATATCCAAGTTGCGGACTATATAAGTTTCCATGTTACATTACTCGCGCGGTTCCAAGTCTGTCCGGGTATTTTCTTAATGAGTTATGTTGCATCTGATTAAGGTTACCATCGACATTGACGGCATTTTAGAAACTGGATATATCTGAAAAGTTTGCGCAATTTCGATCTTTTCATTTTTCTGTTATACTCAGGTTACTTGGAATCCTCTATGCAAGCTCGATTATTATTATTTATTTTTACTTTGTTTTATTTATGTGCTTTTTATGGGAATAGCATTGGGTTCAAAATATGAAATTTTGAAGAAATTGCTTTGTAAAAAGAATAGTACAGGTTCAAAATATTATGCATTTTTTGAACTGTGAGAGTACATAAGGACCAATTGTTATTTTTCTATATTGTTATTTTCAATATATATTTATATATTGAGAAATTGTGTTGTGTTTGATTGTTTTCCAGAAAAAGGCCCCCCTGCTGTGAAGGATAATCAGAAGCCAAATTGGAAAGCATATAAATCTATTACTTGCATTGTCTGCTCATGTTTGTCGCAGATTGGAGATGATTGTCTTATTTTCCAGATGATGGAGAAGATAATTGTTGATCAGCTAGTATGTTCTCTCTGACTTCCAAATTAACATCTTCTTCCATTTTCCACTCCCTTAGTTTTCTCATTCTAAAGCAGAAAATTATTAATAGATTCCTTCATAATGGCATGCGATATTAATATTGTTTATTTTTATTTAATATGTTTCAGTGTGGTCAAACACCGTTGGACAACAAATGTGCTTTCCTCAGATTGCTCACCACTCTAGGCTCGAAAAAAGCTTCACTTTCTGATCAGAGTATTGTCAGTATAAGTTATGTCCTTGCACAATACTTGACTGATGTTGCTTCAGTAAGTTCTTTTCCTCCTATATATATATTCACATTACTCTCATTATATCATGGACAAATGTCAATATTTTAGTTAGGTGCCCCGACTTCAATTGAACTATACCATACTTGGTGCAGAATATGGGGGAAGGTGTTCAAGAGCCAACCGCAGTTATGAGCGTAAAAATAATACGCTACTACTTACTACCTGTCTTTTACCTGTTTTATGGGAGTAAAAGATTATTGAGTCGTGTCTTAAATTTGATGGGATTTTGGATTTCTAAGTCCAGTTCATCAGGTGGGTCCCACCATCATATTCATCCTTCGGGCGATCGTTCATCTGTGATATGTGCAATTGGTTCTGTACTCTCTCACATGTATAAAGATGTCAAGATCAGACCAATTCTATTGTCGTGCAAGATTGAGATGGAGACTATGGTGCAGAATTTGCTCAATTTGCTGGTATTTAAGCTTATCTATTTTCCTCTTCTCATGCGTATACTCTGGATGACCGCTTTTGATGTACTTTGATGATTTTAAAGTTTTATATCTGGTTATTGTGTGTATGTTCATGAAACACTTTCAATTCCTAAGTGTGCTTGTCTGTACTTTGAAAATGAAAGGATTGTAGTTCACTTCAGCTAATTTAGTGTATATGTTAGGGAGGCTACAAAGTAGCTATCTAGCATTCAACTGTTTGTGGGGACACACATTTTTAGTTAAATGGCTATTAAATTATCAGTTTTCCGTTGCATATCATAAACTCTGTCTCGTATAGGGATTTTTGTTGTCTGTATCAGACAATCTTTTGAAAGGTAAAACTGTAATACGTACATAAATATATATGTAGCGTGTGTGTGTGTGTGTATAATTGTAGTCAGCCCTTTCCTTTTTCTCTCTTTTACTGTTTCTCGAAACACCCGAATCATATAATTTTTTTTCTTTGGCATTATTTTCTGTCTCCTTTCTTCATTCTCAAAACACTCCGAATCATGCCCCCTGTAATTATTTTCTTTTCCAGACTTCTGAAGAAACAAATTTGACTTTGGAGGAAAGGCACAAAATCCAGACAACCTATGATCAATTGAAAGCTATGTCCAACAATGACGTGATTTAACATTCCTGACTTGGTGAGATAAGTGAGGTACAATGTGTTCTGTCCTTTTGTTTTGCAGTGGTTTTGGCTCTTAAATATGGTGACATATTTTAGCTGCTTCATCATCTGTTTTTCTAGAGTTTACACAATTGATTAACGACTGATAACAGAAAGATTTGATGAATTTGCAGTGTATTTACTAAAACATTTCAGTCCTTTTGCTTCAGAACTCCTATCAACATTGGGGAGACACGTATGAAGTATCAAATGGGTTCCTTTTGTGGGTCGATATTTCTCAAACTGGACATATGAGTTGGCTCGTTTGAAACCGAGATACATCACAAAATGGTTCTCAGCGATCTCTCAGGGCCCACATTTGAAGCTGTTCCTCTAGATATCTACAAAAGAGCAAAAACTTTTTAATGATTAATATTGAACAGCAGAAATTAGCTAAAAATTTTTGAGTTTTGGATGAAATTCACTTATGATATTGTGAAAGTAAGTGGCAGACCGGCCAGAACAATGCTAGTGCTGAAAGAATTAACACGTGCTCATCACCATTACAAAAGGTTACAGGGTGTTGAGATTGAAAATGAAAGAATATATGATATAGATCTTCCTTCAACTCCTCCACAGCTCCTGCAAATTTCATCCATATGTAACCCTATATTGAGAAGCTTCTGATTTGTACTTAATGCCCCATGCGAGCTCCTCCACTCATGTGAAACTTGATGGAGACGAGATTGCGCTCGCCTTCTTTGAGAAGCATGATCGTTTGACGTCCTTAATATAATTATTTGTTTTTCTCTTTATTATTATTATTATTATTATTATTATTATTATTATTATTTTTAATATTATAATAATTATTATTATTAGTTTTATATTTTAGTTTGATAGGTGAATATTTTTATTTATTTGCCTTACACCTTTTTTTGTTAGGTAAGTTAACTAGTTAGGGCTTTATGGGATGTTATTATTGGCTTATTCATCATTGTGGAGGGTTGGATAAATTTTATGAAATAAGATATTCTTGAGAGTTTTATCACTTGTTTTTCTACGCTTTAGCTACATCAGTTGGTATTTAGAGACTAGAATGATTCACGATGCAGTCGAAAAAGAACGATATTTCAGACGACAGATGTGACGCTGCCATTTATAGTTTGGGGCGACTAGTCGTGATTTGACCTCGAGCTTGGCCCGCCAATTCGACGTGGTGTGACGTCAAATTGAAGATCTGACCACGGGGATCGAGGACATTTGACTAGCCATCAATACCTCTTTCCAAGGCGATCGGTTAACGACTACTCCGAGGAACTTATTAGCTCCTCTTGCGGGTCGACGTGCCCGAGACGACAGACCAACTCGTCTTCTATTATATTGGCGGGTAGCGTTTGCCAATTCAAGATATGATGAATTTATTTGTGCTCAATTCAATTTCTAACGTGCATTAACGACCTTTCTAATGGAGCAGCAACTCGCGCACTGGGCCATGACCTCTTCTATCCCTGCAGCGCGCATCGGTTTCGCCGCACTAGCGTCCAGGAGCCTTTAACTGTAGTAGGTTGTTGCGAGCACCGGATTGAGCGACCGCTTGCGATGCTTTTCATGCGTGGAGTTAGGCCACCAGCGGGCTGCGTGCCCTAGGTCGGGCGGCTCCCGCGCGATATTTGTTGGCGACGACAGCAAACATGTTGGCGGCCAGGATTCCGACGGCCCGCCGACCTTTGACGACGGGCCTTCGATGGTAGAGGAGCATCTTTACGGCGACGTGGTCTCGCCTCGTCATTCGTCATTCATGTTGGTTTCCCTGTGAGTTTTCCAAGGAGTCTTTTAAGCGACATCATACTTTTGAGTCTAAATGCATGGTTGGCGATCGAGTTTGCCGTTTTATTATTAATTTTGGCTCGTGCAAGAATGTGGTTTCCCAAGAGGCCGTTGAGAAGCTTTGTCTGTCGAGTGAGCCACATCTTCAGCCTTACACTCTCTCTTGGACCTAGTGTGGCAATGCTGTCACCGTCAACCACTGCGTTTTGGTATTGTTTTCCATCGGGGCCACGTATAGAGACACGATTTGGTGATGTTGTGCATATGGATGCGTGTCACCTTTTATTGGATCCTCCGTGGCAGTTTGATCGCTCAACTGCATATGACGGCCTTCTTAACACCTACAACTTCATGTTCGAGGGTGTTAAAATTGTTCTTCATCCGACTCCACCTTGGTCGCTGCCCATACCAACGCCTTCTCCGGTCTTATTCTTTTCTCGCGCGACTTTTGGTGACGAGATGCTCGAGGATCCTTTTGTTCTTCCACTATTGGGATCTGACTCGACAACTGAGTGCTCGCTCCTAGTGGTCATCCTCCAGTTGCTTGAGGAGTTTGCAAATGTTTTCCCGACTGATTTTCCGTTAGGTTTGCCTCCTCTCCGCAACATACAACACTAGATTGACTTGGTGTCGGGCGCCTCTCTTCTGGACAGACCGCATTATCGCATGAGCCCAGTGGAACATGAGGAGTTACGTCGGCAGGTGGAGAATCTTTTACAACACGAGCATCGTAGCTTAAGCTCGTGCGCAGTGCCCACTTTGCGTATCCCGAGAAGCACATTTCTTGGCGCCTGTGCGTAGATAGTCGGTTTATTAACAGGATCATTGTCCAATACCGAATTCTTATTTCTCGATTGGACGACTTGCTGGATCAGCTACATAGAGCTTCCGTCATCACGAATTTGGATCTTCGCAGCGACTATCATCAAATTCACATTCGGTCGGGAGATGAGTGGAAGATGACCTTCAAGATTCGTGAGACTCTGTTCGAGTGGATGGTGATGCCCCTTTGAGTTATCGAATGAGCCCAGTACCTTCATGCGAGTGATGAACTAGGCGCTTCGTGATCTCATTGGAAAGTGTGTCGTCATTTATTTCAATAACATCCTTATTTTTAGCCGTTTTATGGAGGAGCACTTGCTTCATGTTAGATCTGTTCTTCTTACCTTACGCGTCGAGTCTTTTTTTGCAGCGTTGAGGAAGTGCTTCTTGGTCGACTCTATCTTGTTTTTGGGTTTTGTTATTTCAGCGGATGGGATTCGCGCGGATGATAGCAAGGTGGCAGCGATTCATGATTTGCTGACTCCCACTTATTTACTAAGGCCCGTAGCTTTCATGGGCTCATGTCATTTTATTGGCCCTTTTATTTCATATTTTAGTTCGATCACGATGCCTATCATGGACTGTCTAGAGCAAATCCTTTGTCTGGACACCACAGGCCGCAAATGTTTTTTCTCTTATCAAGTGTAAGTTGACGTTTGCTCTTGTCTTGGTCTTGCTCGATTTTCGTGCCCTTTCGAGCTCTTTTGCGACAACTTGAAGGTTGGGATCAAGGATGTCTTGATCCAGGATGCACGACCCATCTTATTTTTCAGCAAGAAGTTTTCGGGACCTCGATTACATTACAACACGTATAATGTCGAGCTTTATGTTATGGTTCGTATTGTGCGATATTGGCACCATTATCTTTTCCATCGGGAGTTTGTTCATTACACAGAGCATGAGGCTTTGTGCCACATCGCTTCCTAGGTAATATATCGACGTGTCATGCTTCGTAGAATGCATATCTACAGCAATTCACTTTCGTGCTAAAGCATCGCTCCGGGGTGTCTAACGCGTTGAGTCTGTTCCTTAGTATTGACGAATTTGTGATTTTTGGTTTTCGGCTTTGACTTGCTGCGTGAGCTTTATGCGACTACTACCTTTTTTTGAGCAAATACTGGTGCGCCTTGCGTCCAGTCCTTTCGAGGACTACTTGTTGTCTGATGGTTTTTTTTCTTGGGTGGGGGAGGGTCTGAACGTACAACTATGTTTACCAGATTGCAATCTCCGTCTGAAGTTGGTTGTCGACCTTCATGGCATGAGTCCCGTGGGTTGGGATCGTTCCATTGAGTCAGCGTTCTTTTTTGTCGTCTTTGTGACGTGATGTGACTTGTTATGTGGAGCACTGCCGAGTTTGTCATGTATCTAAGGGCATTCCGTCTAACACCGGTCTTTATCGCCCTTTGCCTATTCCGTCAACATCGTGGTGTGCGATTAGTATGGATTTTGTGTTTGGCTTGCCGGGCACGCAACGCATGCATGACTCTAATTTTGTGGTGGCTAACCTAATTGTCCATTGTATTCCATGAAAGCGCACGACTAACATCGTGCATGTGGCGTAGCTGTTCTTTCACGAGGTGTATCGCTTTTCATGGTTTACCTTCACCTATTGTGTCAGACTATGATACAAGTTCCTCTGCTTCTTTTTGGCGTAGTTTGTGGCGCCAAGCTAATACACGGTTGGATTTTAGCAGTGTCTATTGCAGACGGAGGTCGTTAATCATTCGTTGGGAATTTCCTGCGTTGTGGCAAGAACTTGCAGAGTTGGGATCAGAGGCTTAGTCAGTCCGAGTTCACCAATAATTCGACAGTTAGTTGCGCTATGCATTTTTCTTTATTTTAGATGGTCTATGCGTGCAGTCCAACATATTTAGTGGCGTTGTCGTCGACGAAGTCGCGTGATCATTCGACTGAGGATTTTATGGCAGACTTGCAGCAGACACATGCGACAAATCATGCTAATTTGGAGGAGGCGAGTGTTGCGTATAAGCGTCATGCAGATGCTTGTCGACACCACGTGAGGTTGAGGTGGGTGACTATGTTTGGGCTGTGTTGATGAAGCAGGGACGGATTGACACTTGGGTTGCCCAGGTTGAATTTTTGTTGCTAAACATATATAGTTATAATTTCCAAATAAATATTTAGGAAGAAAAGATAAAGTTAGAGAACTTACGAGACATAATAAAAACAAATTTAAGTTATTTTACTAGTCTATATAAAACAAAGTCGAACATTGTCTCTATGTTCTCTTCTATAATTAAATTTAATGAAATGATAATCGAGGATGAGGCTATTGCTGATCAAAGAGGACAATGCAATTTGTTGTTTGTGCAGATACAATCCTTTGATTTCACATTTTGTATTCTTGTAAT